AGGTTATTGGTTGGAATACTGCTGCTATTGAAACGAATTAGAGCTGTTGGTTGTAAACATCACGTAAGCTTCTGGAGTAAACCCGCGTTCAATTACAGTAGACTGGATGAAGAGAAGTACGTTAAAAGTTCATCTGTTTCAAGTTGACGCCTTGAAACCATTAAAGCACTTTAAGAACGCACTATTGGGTTTATTCAGAATGGCTTTTCTTCTACTTCTTCAGGGCTCGGAAAAACAGAACGAAACTTCAAGACAAAGTTTCAAATGTATTAAAGAACACGAAGCAACGCAAGAAGAAAGCTAACTATAGTAGCGCATTAAAAATCTTTAACTTCTAAACTTCTGCAAACATTTACTCGTCCTGCTAGTATCTGAAATGGACTTTGTCAGGAGCTCAGAGTCCGTGGGCACTGTTTTGTTCACTGAAGTTCGTCAGTGATTAAGTTCGAGATGTATTGTTCTGGCATGGAAACATTGTGTCCGTCCAACATACGCTTGTCATAATAGAAAGCTAGAAACTTGAGTAAAACCCTGTGTATACACGTACTCTGCACGTGTGCATGCTGGAGAGTAGGCTACTTGACAAAGACGGGGTTTCACTGCAGCTTATTTTCCTGCGACTCTAAAAGCATGTGTAAGGATAACATACACTGTAACTTAACGTTAAGTACTCTAACAAACACAAAGAAAAACAAACTACACGATCTACCCTACAAACCTAACTACACAATTCCAAGAGGGAAAAAAAGGAAGTCGCCGAAATGCTACAGCACCATGGACAGTACCCAACACACAGACAGAGCTCCCATGATCCGTCAGGAATTTCCCATTTATGTCACATGCCTTAAATGCATACTGTAGAAGTGAGTACTGAAGAAGTCTTGAAAGGCTGTCTTCTCTTTTTGAATAATGATCATTACATTCAGCCTTAAAGCACTGAATGGGTCATATCATGAGAAGTCAAATGTTCCCTGGTTTTGTTCCATGCAGCTGTGGTGCAGTCATGAAAAGTAGGATATATACGTTTTTTTATTTCTAAAACACCAGAAAAACATATTACTCCAGTTTCTATGTAATATTGATAAAAGAAAGATATGGGTAAAGTACACCAATGGCTTTGGTCATCAGGCATTAACATTAAAACACACCATATGGGTTAATCAATCATGTTACATACACAACCAACTATGTTTTTTTTTCATCTTAATTTTCACATCAATGTGGTTATATTGTGTAATCACAACAACTTGTACAGCTTGTGACATACATTTTGTGTTTTGCAAAGTTTGCTGCTTCAGTAGTTGTAGATTTTTTTTCCACAAGTTTCTATGGTATACTGAAAAACAGTGATAAGCATATAAGTTTTAAAGGCTTTTATTGGCAATAAAATATAACGAGCAATATTTACAGTGTTGACGCTTGTTCTTCATAACCTCTGTAATTCACTCTGGCATGCTGGATTTTAGCTTCTGGGCCAAATCCTGACTAATGGCGATCCATTCTTGCCTTTTTAGTTCTCGGAGTTGATCAGAATTTGTGGGCTTCTGCTTGTCCACTTGCCTTTTGAGGACCGACCACAGGTTATCTATGAGATCCGGGGAGTTACCTGGCCACGGATCCAAAATGTCAATGTAACGATCTTCGAGCCACTTCATCACTTTTGCTTTGTGGCATGGTGCTTCATCATGCTGGAAAACGCATGGATCACCAGATTGCTCATGGATCGTTGGAAGTCATCGCTCTTGCAGGACATTTTATACCAGTCTTTATTCATGGCAATGTTTTTGGGCAGAATTATGAGAGTCCACTCCCTTGGCTTCTGCTTGTCCACTTGCCTTTTGAGGACCGACCACAGGTTATCTATGAGATCCGGGGAGTTACCTGGCCACAGATCCAAAATGTCAATGTAACGATCTTCGAGCCACTTCATCACTTTTGCTTTGTGGCATGGTGCTTCATCATGCTGGAAAACGCATGGATCACCAGATTGCTCATGGATCATTGGAAGTCATCGCTCTTGCAGGACGTTTTATACCATTCTTTATTCATGGCAATGTTTTTGGGCAGAATTATGAGAGTCCACTCCCTTGGTTGAAAAGCAACCACACACATGAATGGTCTCAGGATTATTCACTGTTGGCACAACACAGGACTCATGGTAGCATTCACCTTTTCTTCTCCAAGCAACCGATTTTCCAGATGTCCCAAACAGTCGGAAGGGAGCTTCAGAGAAAATAACTTTGTACCAGTCTTCTGCTGTCCAATCCTTGTACTTCCTGCAGAACTTCAGTCTGTCCTTGATGTTTTTCTTGGAGAGAAGTGGCTTCTTTGCTGCCCTTCTTGACACCAGGTCTTTGTCCAAAAGTCTTGGCCTCACTGTGCTTGCAGATGCTCTCACACCAACCTGCTGCCATTCCTGAGCAAGCTCTGCACTGGTGGTGACACGATTCTGTAGCTGACTCCTCAGGAGGAGACGGTCCTGGCGCTTGCTGGACACTCTGGGACGTCCTGAAAATTGCGATGATGGCTGCACGTGTTTCTTTGGAAGTAACCATTGCTAACAAAAAGCTGCTCTTACAATCTAAATAATATGATAGTGATTTCACCTGACTAGTACTCATTTACACTTTCACATGTGCTGCTGATATGATTAGTCAATTAATGTTAGCTGGTCATTTTGTGTCAGGATCAAAAAAACATTTGTTTAGTTTTTTTTGTGTGAAAAGTTCTTTTTTTTGGCCAATGAAGCTTTTAGCAATTATATAAAATGCATCTGATCATTCTACACAATAATCTAGAAATAATGTGAATGAACACCACAACCGCTTAAGCAGCAAACTTTGCAAAGCACAACATTTATGTCACTGCCAAAACTTTTGGCCATGACTGTAATATATGGACAATATATGGACACATGCAATATAGGTGAAGACAACTGCACATAAGGTGGAACAGGCTTTATTTGGCATTTCATGTTACAGTGTCAATACAATATATTTTAACGCAACATTATACACAGTGATACATATTACTCACCTCTATGATTATTACTGTAATCTGGTGTTGAATATAAGTTTAAGTTTATCCAGTGGTTTGGCTTTATTGACAAAATGATGTGGGGGGGAAAGGTGTCAATTTCATTCAGGAGCTTGAAGGGTATTCAAAATGTTTTAAAACCAATATAAAGCATTAATAAATTGTCAGACTTGATACTTGACAGAAAAACATTTTAAGACACTTTAATATCTTGGCTATCACCCACTGGGACTGTTAATGCACACTTACAACTTGTTCATCTCATAATCTGCCAGATTTATGATTTATGCCAATACTGTATACAAATACAAATTGCACATTAGTCTGCCCAGTATAAAGATTTTAAGTTAATCAAAAATGTGCACGTTTTGTAATTAGAGGAAGCTGATTTTATTTTTATCCATTAAACAAAAACGCAAAACCAACAAAAGAAAGAAAGATCAAGTAAAGAAAAAATAGTAAAATTATCTTTAATGCAAGACTCTTTTTAATCAACAAGCTTGCCTGGTAATTTTATAAAATTTATGTGTAAGATTTAATTAATGTCTGAACTCAGACAGAATGAAAACCTCCTCAAAGGGAGATTTTGCTCACTTCTGGGTACAAATTAGTAATGCTGTGCTGACGTCCATCAAAAGAACTGATGGACCCGATGCATTAACAAAATCTCTGAAAGCAATCCATGAACATTAAGTGTGTCTGTGATTTTATATATTGTCTTAATTCCTGGCGTCATACCAGAACCAGTAATAATTTGCAGACGATTTCGTGACGTTTCGCATTAGATCAGATTTCACAGGCCGTGTATAGCCTATACCTGTAGTGATGCCGCACTTGTTTGTTTGGGATAACAACACGTGGTGTCGGGCAGTTCACGGATACCTGTTTGAAAATCATCCTACACTTGGATGTTGGATAGTATTCACGCTGATAGGCTACTTGGGCATTTTAAACGTTTAAATGACTTGATGCTTTTTGCATCCCACCCGCGGCTATAGTTTGGTTTGGTGCACCATATTTTTCCTTCAGTTTTTGTGCAACGCCGGTAAGAGTTTTTATTATTTAGTTTAATTCAGTTTTGTTTCTAAGCATGCTTAAAGCTAAAGCATACACTGCTACTGCACCAATGAGTGTTGCAGGACACCTGTTTACCCAGTTAAAAACCAGGAACGGGGTAAAATCATAGGACCAACACCATCCCGACCTTGTGTCGTCTGAATTTACAGGTTATTTTGTTTTCTCACACAAGGTTTTCATTTACATGCTAAAAATGTAGAAATTTAATGACTGAGCAGATTGGGAGGGTTGTAAGACTTCTGGACTCTCAAAAGCGTGCACAACATGAGACGAAATACTGCATAGACATAATTGGAATAAACTGAAAAAAACTCTTGACACTAGTCAGGGGCTTTGAATTTGCTCTTTTGAATTGAAATGCATTCTATATGTTTAACATTTTGAATTAAAGTGGCGATGGAATAATAATGATTTTAAAGTAGTAAATGTGCTTACCACAATTAATGTATGCACACAATTTATTTCAAATACAAACCACCCTGGTACTGGATTAGAACTAGTACATAGTTATTTGACATTAGAAATTAAACTACATTAATTAGCAGATAAATATTACAATTTTATATGAGAGACATTCAGAGCAAAAATACAATTACAGATTAAAAAACAACCTTGTGTGAGCCTATACATATGCCTTGCAATACCCAGATATATATATATATATACAGTATATATACTACTCATCCTGTGACTTCACACCTTTGTGCACTCAGCTAAATGTTTCTGCGGGAGTTATTTTTACTTTTAGCAGACATGATATTTTGAGACGCCAGAATATTCTAGCCATGACAGTTAAAACACATATCCTGTGTTTGCACCATTTTGAGACATTCAGAGCAAAAATACAATTACAGATTAAAAAACAACCTTGTGTGAGCCTATACATATGCCTTGCAATACCCAGATATATATATATACAGTATATATACTACTCATCCTGTGACTTCACACCTTTGTGCACTCAGCTAAATGTTTCTGCGGGAGTTATTTTTACTTTTAGCAGACATGATATTTTGAGACGCCAGAATATTCTAGCCATGACAGTTAAAACACATATCCTGTGTTTGCACCATTTTGTGTCTCTGCATGTCTAGAACAAATATAAAGTACTTGCAAGTTACAGCACAATATGATGCATGATCCCCAGAAATGTAATGGGTTGTTTATAATTTCTCATTTTATTGGATGATTATTGTTATTGTATGCTGACTCTTGCATTAAAGAGATCATTAAACAGCTCATTTTAGAGCATATTTGTTGTCATTAAAGGAACAGTAGCTTGGAAATGTCTGCCATCAGAAATGATGATAAAGAGGCACTTCATATTGATATTAAACAACGATTAAACACTGGTTGGATCAGTGTACCTTAAAATATATTGTAAATTCCACTGCTAAAGCTCATTACAGCTTTTTTATTATTGCTAGAAACAGGTGTCCTATTTGGAACCACATTGACACCATTGGAAGGGTGTCCTTTTTAACTCTGTGCCAGCATATGCAACAGATGGCTCATATTTCATTACCCTATTTTAATACATTTGGTTCATTCTAACCTTTAATTAATTATTTAAAGCTTTATTTTAATAAAAAGTCCCCCATGGATAGCTTGCACCAGTTGTAACCAATGGCAGAGCTTGGCAGCTGGCCTGTTTGGAGCCTGTCTGCGCCCTCAGCTGCCTCCAGACGTGACAGTCGGCTCTCTGTATAGACTATCTGACTGTTGGAAGCCTGAAATATTTGAATGTCATTGGGGGAGGTCATCTGTGGCTTGAGGAGGGGGCAGGTCAATAGGGGTTCATATATGCTTCTGCAATGTAGCAAGTGGAGACTTGCATTATATGGTGGCCAAATGGCCCTTTTTGAGGCTCCAGGGCCATCTGTACACCAATTTAAATGGTATAGTCCAATTTGAACACCCCTCCATATTGAGCTAAAATGGAAGAGCCTCTTTTGCAGTGTTTGCTGGGAAGAAGAAGTACAGTCGGGATTGGGACTTTGGAGAGGAGGTAGCAATCTGAAGAGGTAAGAGGAGCTGTGTTCTCCAATGGCCAGGCCATTAATGGATGGATGGGCTCATTGGGATGTACATTGGCCCTGATGCATGCAATATATGGATTTTTACAGGTCTTGGCATGGTGTCTGTATAGGGTGAGAATAGATATCATGGTTAGCATGAACAAGGAAATATGGAGGGAGCTGCTAGGGGGAGCTATAACAGGGCAGACAGCAGCTGGCTGAAGTGAGCTGCTCCAAATGTGCGTCAGACTCTTTAAAATACTCACATTGGTTGGGAAAACACAGGAAGATGTTGCATTGTTGTGCTTTAGCTTGATAAAGATGGTCTGCAATTGTTGTGTCTTTATCCCTTGGGTGCCTGTCCAAGGGAAGTGGCCAATTTGACATGCAGGCAATGCTGTAGAAAAGCAAGAGAGGAAGCATGTTAATGATGGTGCTTGATGAATAAAACACACTTAAATGTGCTAAAAGCATGTAAATCATAGATATTATTGTGTATTTGTGTGATTTTTGCAAGATCATTTGACAAATTAGCTTCTCTGAGTGAACCGTTTGAGAGCTTTAAAGATGGCCGCTCCTTAGAGTAGTGAATGCTGTTGGGATGGGTTACTTCCTGACTCACTCGACACTCGTGTTAGTTGGACAATCTCTGTGTTCAAGCATATAAATCCGTTTTCAAATAAAACTGCAGGAAAAATAATCATCTTTACTGTTAAGTCATTAATAATCAAAGTTATGGTTAGTATTGCTAACTAAAAGGAACCTTTAGGAGATCAGATTCTGGTCTGAACTGAGTGAGTGTGGAGTGTAAACACTGTAACTGAACTGTTTTTTTTTTAGTTAAGGGACTAGTTAATTGCATAGTATGGACTAGTCTCTGATTAGTCACTTTAGAGGGCCCTTGTTTAGTTTTTGACATGGACTAGGTAAAGCACAGTACAGATTTTGATCATCATCCATATAAAACTATATAGACTATAAAACTATAACACAATTTTGCTGTTAGACTGGCATTGGTGCAGATGACCTATCAGTTATTATCATATTAATCAATAATGATTCATCTTTTTGATTTTATATGTCTCATATGTCCATGAAAATGGAGGGAAGTTGAATTATATTTAAATGAGTAATTTAGTTCATATAAATGAACCTAATGATTTTTTAATTTTTTTTACATAAGATAAGGCATACAGATAAACTAAAGGGTTAAATACTGAAAGAACGGAAGAATGGAGAATGTAGGTGCAATTTTTATTCATATTATTTATTCATATTATTTAATATTTTTATTCATATCCTAAAACCATCCAACATTTAAAGGGTTAAATTTTACTCCTCTTGGGGGCATCAGAGTAATAATGACACCCTTTCATTTAGTTACTGTCTGCCGTTTTGATCAGAAATCTTCAAATGTAAATTACTGCCCCCTCTGGATGGATCAGGAACAAGGGTCTGTGTCTCTAATGGGAAAATGAGAACGGTAAATGTGCACTCATTCTCTCATTTAGAGTTGCAGCCCTTTTTCTTTTGCTTAATAAATTGTTCCTCTAAGCTCTCAGTACAGTCCTATCATAGCCAACAGTTGGACACTCGATGAGTTTTAACCCCTAAAGGCAGCTGCATTATAGCTACTATCACATCACAAGACATAATTGTTCTGTGAACTTTAATTCACACCCTGTTCTCTCAAACTAGGATTATTAGAACAGAGCTACTACTAAATTTTCTCCAATAATGTAAATTTCTCCAAGTGTAAATGTTAAACGCCCCTGGTTGAGGATAATTGTTCAAGTGAGTGCATGAATTTGTCAAAGCTTCATAAAGCAGTCTGCTGACCTGTTAAAAAAGTGCTTTTTTTTTAGTTTTAACATAAATTAACTTTTATATGTTTACAGCTACTGTATTATAGCCATACTTCTGAAGAATTCTGCTGTAGTATTCCTGTGAAGTCATATTATTTATTGAGCCATAATGTACTTTGACATCAAAAAACATTGATAACACGTGGATGTCACTGTTTAATTGCTTTAAGAAGTTTATTTGCCATGCCAATATTCTCATCTAAAAAAAAAATAAAACAAAAGAAATTTTATGACAATGTTTATGCTTCTTCAGAGTTATAATGCCATATATGACTTTCCAAGTCATAATCTTTAAGCCATGAAGTGATATAAAAACTTTGATAACCTGATAAATTGATACTATCTTCATTTTCGCTGTCTCATCCCATATTTTACATGTTTTTACAATCTCACAAAAAAAGATCTTTTAACAGATATTTTAACAGTAAATGTTCGTTTTGTTCACATTTTAAGTAGTAATCAGTGTCAGTGGAACCCCTTTGTCACAGTCTTGATTTTTTTTTTTCTAAAAATGAAAATTACTGCCCCCTCTGGATGAATCAGGGGGAAAAAAACTTTTTGGTAGATGTCTATAGACATATAGTCAAAATTGAGGTATGAAGCAGAAGTTGCTGAGAGGTGGAAATGGGGCTTCCGGTTTCCGTTATAGCCCGTTGCTTCTCTGAAAGTGCTTTTTGAGTTTTAACAAAAATTAACTAGAACTAATATATTTTAATGACCATACTGTTTAGCTTCTGATTTTGCCATAATATTCCGATGAAAAGTCATATAATTTAACAAGCCAGAATGTACTTTGACATCAAAAAACATAGATAATTTGTTGATGTGTCACTGCTTAAACCTAACAGGGTTTAGCAATAAGGTTTTATTTTCCTCGCCACTCTCTACCAAGAAGAAAAGTTATATATGCCTTTTCTGGAAAACAATAGAATGCTGTGTAAAACATATGATACCATTCTAACTGATACTACCAAGATTATCAGTAGTCATTCTTTCAATTTCAATAGATAACTAGGCCTGTCACGATAACAACTTTTTGTTGTCCGATATATTGCCCCAGAAATAATTGCGATAAGCGATATTACTGTCATTTTAAAGACCAATTTATGCTACTGAATATATAATCATAATAATGCAAGAAGGCCTACACACTTCCAAATGACAACAAACTTTTAATTAAGAATATTTAGATCATGGAAATGAAGTCTCAAAATATTAGATACCTTTAAAAACCTGAATAAATATTAAATAAACATTTTCTAACAAAAAGTGCAAAGTAGAAAAAAAGAAAAATGCACAAAGAACTTGTATGGAGATTTTTCCATCTACAGATTTTCTCTGTAAATTAAGGGTGCACACTATTGAAAAACACAATCACTAATTAGCAGTCAGATCCCTAAACAAGGCCATATCTGCAGAATGGAACATTTTTTTGTAGCAGCATTTTTTAAATTTGAACTGGCACCTCATGACTGCACCACGTTATGTTCGAGAAGCTGCAAAAGACACAGGCGCAAGTGGAATGTACAAAGCATGGTGACATACATTTTTAAGTAAATATAATGGGTGATATATTGCGTCACCAAAAATGTGTTAGGTCATGTACATATATTGCGCGATAAGTCGATATATTGATTATTGCGACATGCCTACAGATAACTGACCTGAAGCTTTCTGAATATGCTGTGCTAGAAGTCTTTGAATTTACTAAAAGTTCTTTCCTTTTTTCCAGATCCTTGGGAAAAAAAGAAAACAAGATCTCCATTTGGGACATCCAGTTTTTCTCACTGCAACGTAAGAGTTCATTTTCCTGTCTTAACTGGTTAAAGGTGATACTCATTCTTTGTTAAACAAAGAGAAAATGTGACCTTTTCCTCCAAACATACAATGCACATTATTTTGTTACCTATTGAATGAAATCTGCCGGCACTCTATTTACAAACGATCCCACACAAAGCCCAGCTCACAGCACGCATCTGTCATGAACTTGACTCTCTTACAGCTGTTCAAATGGCAGCTGACATGCACAGTTGCCCGACAGCCTCTCCTTTCACCATATATTCATCCTTCGTTTATGCTTCAGTGGGTTTTTCTCACTTAACCAGAAAAGCCACAACAAGACATACCTGCTTCCTAAATTTTTACACACTCACCACCTCATTCATGAAGCACGAGTGGAATGAATAGAACCTTTTTATGTAATTACTGCATTTAATTGACTGTAAGAATAGTTTTACTATCTATACACGGTGTGTTTGATGTCTGAGGCCTATAAACAATTTTTTCCCACATACACGCGTACTATATTTTTTTGACTCGTGCATTAATATTAGACTAGTCAAAGTCAGAATTTCCTCGTATTCCTCTTTTTTTACACCGACAACCCAAATGATCTCTAATTTACTCATCTGCTTCCCCTAGTTATTCATTCTTGTCTACAAGTGACAAGATCCTTAACTGAACTTGGCAGAACGCATTGCAGCCATTTTCCATGCAGTGTCTTAGTGTGTGTTCTTCAGAAAGGGGATTGCGGAAAAGCAGCATACTTTCTTTTTCTCTTCTAAACCAATCAGCATTGCTGTGGTATGAGTCACTCCCACACCCTACCCTTATATGGCAAAGAGGGGAGGGGCTGTTTCTCAGACCGGACAGTGAAATGGTGGCTGCTTGTACAAAAACAGCAGCAGCACCATTAGGAACCAAGCAGCTACAGACGCATTTACAGGTAAGATCCGTAGCTTAGAACATTCTCCTGCTTCTAGGTTCTACTTAACATGCATCCTGTGACATGAAAATGAAATGATATTGCTGCTTCATGTATCTGAACGATGCTGTTTGTCTAACCTTCCTCTTGAGCTAATTGTGTTAGCCTGTTTACAAGGCATCCTGCCATTCATTCAGCCTAGAAACCTATTTTACCAAACTGACATAGAAAAAAATCTTTTAGTTGCTTTTAGAAAATCTTTTCATTTATAGTAAAGGAAAACTTGAGTATGACATCATTCATTATGCCATGTGGTTTAATGGCTGTCAAGCACAACGTGCTCATCAACTGCATTGTTTTAGTTGTAGAATTACAAGTTTAGTTTGTTTTCCCGTGCAAACCGGTTTTTGATTACAATTAAATGAATTTGAGTCAGTGCTTCCTGTGAACTTCCATTCTGAAAGCACAAAGAGCTATAAATAAACTGAATGTTGGTATATAGGTTTAGATCTTTTATGGTATGTAACTTTGTATAGTTTAAAAATTCATATTTTTGTTACATATTAGGTAAAAAATCAAGTTGAAAACTACCACCCCAGACACCGCAGATTCAGAACTGGACAGCAACCGTTTACGGTCAAAGAAAGAGAAAATATAATCCTATTAGAAAACCTACCACTGTCTTTTAAGGTAGAATTTAACGGTCATTAAACCTCACAAGTAAGCAATTCAGGAAACTCCACATAGGCTACTCAAATAAAAGTTCTAGAGAATTGACTCGCAAATGATTCCAACACAGACTGATGTTGCTCAGCTAACAGCATGATACACTAATATGCATATACAATACGAGATGTGCACAAATACGAAGTAAAATAATCTGTTTGAATTGCACTGAACTATTTTATAATTGAATGGAATGAACGTTTACATCCAAATTTAAATGCATAAATTTATACTCGGATAAGGCAATTCCACAATGCATTTCTCTTATTAGACACTGCAAGTTCAGTGTCAAAATAGTGAATTGTCACATTGTGGAATTGCTCTCTCTGTAATGTCTACACACAATGCTGAAGGCTACTGCTTTCACCATTTTTGCTGAAAAGACTTGCATTGTAAAAAAAAAAAAAGTAAATAGAGGTTATTGCTGTACATTTTACAAGAAAATACTATTTTAGTATGTTTAATTTAATGCGTTACTGCCATTTCTTTGTAATGTATTATTTGTGAAATTTACTAGCAGTTTCTATTATCTTTTTTTATATTTAAAATCAAATGCCCAAGGAAGCATGCCAGTTTCAAACTTGATTGTTGTTCAGGAAGTGTTGAAGTATTATTATGGTCTGTGCTGTTTTGATATGAATCATTAAAAACAAGTTTTCCTTTCATTTCAGAATCAGCCAAGACTGAAAGCCTAGAAGAACCAAAGATTCAGACCCATCTATGGCAGAAAAACAGCAGATCAAAGTGACTGTGGCCAAAGTGCTGTGCTATGTGGAGAAAATCTCCTCCTTCGCCTCCAACATAAATCCTCTCTTTGGGATTGTGACTTCAGTGGTCGGGGTGGTCAGGAAAGGCCTCGTGGATAAGGAGGACCATGAGATGGACAATGACTTCAAACAGATCCATGAGAAGCTGAAAACCATCTCGGAGAAGAACAAGCAGACCCTGCGACAAATCCGCATCGACGAAATCAATGAGAATTTCGGTAAGCACGAGGAAGTCATCAAACATCAGTACAACGCTTTCAACACCATGGTGGAAAGAGTAAAAGCGGATCCTGAGAACTCGGATCGTCACATGAAGGAGTTTGTGAAGATCTACGAGAATGATATGATGGATCTGAGCTTAGATACGTATTACCGCGGAGTGAAGGGTGCCGCTCTGTTTGGGAAGCCCATGCTGCAGGTTTACCTGGAGAACTGCCAAAGAAACAAAAAGGTGATGGAGGCCCGCTGCTCTCACATCGCCCACCTGTTCTACATCGGTCTAATGGCGCTGATGGCCTACTACGCCGTCAGTGAAGATGACGAGGATGAAGTGAGAGACAAATGGGGCCCGAGGGTCATTGAAATTCAAGCCAAGATGCAAGAAGTACTTGACCAATGCACTGAGGAAAACTGAAGTGGGAACATTGCACTGAACGATTCATTTCATACGCTGAAAGTTTAAATGTTGTAAGCAGTCTTGAATTAGGAAGTTTAAATCAATCGTGTGGGGTGTAAAATGGGTGAATCTTTTCCTGCTTGCCAATGGACTTTTCAATGCAATACTAAAGTAGTGCAAAGTTCTTAACTGTATATCGCAAATTTTATTTTTAAGTATGTTAAGCATGTTTTGGACTGAATATATTGTAAAAAATAATTTTCCAATATCATATGAGCCTTTGATACGAGTTATTATGAATTATTATATAATTGTTTGCTTATGTTTTGTGGAACATCTCTGATTCTTTGCACAATAAATGAATCTATTTTTTCTCTCATATCATGGCAGTTAGTCTCTTTATTTGTCATTTTATATGGCCAAATGTGATTTCTGCCAAGTCAATTCATGATTTGAACACACTAAAGACTGAGTGCAGAATGCAGGTGAATACGGAAATTGCATTGATTTGCATTAAATGCAAACTTGTCAATGTTTCAGAGGCAGAATGCTTCATCAGTCTAATCTGAAAAAAAAAAAAAAAATTAAGAAAAATTCCAGGTTCAGTACAAGTTGAACTCAATTAGCAACATTTATGGCATAATGCTGATTACAATTTCCCCTTCTTTCTTTCTGGGTTACATTGAGGCATTTGCTGTACAATGGAAGTGAATGAGGCCAGTCCTTAGACATTTAATACTCACGGTTTAAACGGTAAAAACTCACTGTTTTACAAGTACAGCCACAAGACTTAACATGCATGTTAGCATGATTTTAGTGTAAAAAAATCTAAATTTTTTGTATTATGCTATATCCATTTTTTTACAACTTCGTCATCATGACGACAATTACGCCTAAAAAAATCTAAATATATAACTTCAACAGATTTACAACTCAATATGCACATTTTAACCGAATTAATGTGAGAGTTAAATAAAAAAGCTTGACATTTTTGCTTTTAAACACTCCAAAAATGGACCTCATTTACCTCATAAGTGCTTGACTGTAACCTCGTTTTTTGCTTTTTTTAAGAAGAGGAACAAAATTATTCTTGTGATAATCAACATTATGCCACAAATGCTAATTGAGCTTAACCTGTATTGAATCTTCGTATCATTTAGATACTACTATAGTTTTTTTTCCATTATTAATTTAATAATATTGTTTTATTAATATTAATATTAGTTTTATTAATATTTGGATTGTTTTTATTTTTTTATTTTCAGTTTCCCAATTATATATATATATAGATTTAATACTCACGGTTTAAACGGTAAAAACTCACTGTTTTACAAGTACAGCCACAAGACTTAACATGCATGTTAGCATGATTTTAGTGTAAAAAAAATCTAAATTTTTTGTATTATGCTATATCCATTTTTTTACAACTTCGTCATCATGACGACAATTACGCCTAAAAAAAATCTAAATATATAACTTCAACAGATTTACAACTCAATATGCACATTTTAACCGAATTAATGTGAGAGTTAAATAAAAAAGCTTGACATTTTTGCTTTTAAACACTCCAAAAATGGACCTCATTTACCTCATAAGTGCTTGACTGTAACCTCGTTTTTTGCTTTTTTTAAGAAGAGGAACAAAATTATTCTTGTGATAATCAACATTATGCCACAAATGCTAATTGAGCTTAACCTGTATTGAATCTTCGTATCATTTAGATACTACTATAGTTTTTTTTCCATTATTAATTTAATAATATTGTTTTATTAATATTAATATTAGTTTTATTAATATTTGGATTGTTTTTATTTTTTTATTTTCAGTTTCCCAATTATATATATATATATATATAATGTTTATTTTATTTCAAGTATGTCATTTATGATTTTTTTTTATGGTTTTAGATTTTGTTTCATTTGTAGTTAACTATAATAACCCTGACTGACCCCGGAATATTCTTGTAACGGTAGTGCATGGTAAATACATATTTTTCATGGAAATTCTGTTTAACTTTAAGATTGTGATCTGTTTCCTCCTTCAGGTGAACTAACCATTAAGACTGTCCTACAATCTTCCTCCGGACACAATGGCTGACAATGAGATATTTGATGACCCAGAGAAGCTGAAGAGGGGTCTAGTGAAGGTTCTGGAATGTGTGGCCACCATCTCGTCTGCAGCAGCGGTGGTCAATCCCATCTTCGGTGTGGCTGGTTCTCTCATCCGGGTGGTGCTGCACCACGTGGACGATGAAGACATTCAGAAACTCAAACGAGAGTTTGGCAGCGTGAATCGAGCCCTTGATGAAATCTCGCAGCAGAACCGTCAAGCCCTGCTGCAAATCAAGAAGGAAACGGTGGACAAACAGTACCACGAGGTGGAAGAAAACATTCGCAATCAGTTCCGCAAATTCATGGAGATCGTGGAGGCCAAACCGGAGCAAGTGCAACGCAAGAAAGATGATTTCGTAGAGAGTTTCATCAATGATAAAGATGACCAGAACATGTACACACTTTATGAAGGCGTGATGGGGAAGCGCAAACTCTTCAGCCAGCCCATCCTAGACGTCTACATGAAGCATTCGCTGGGTGACCAGCGCGTCATGGAAAACCTCTGCACTCGACTCGCGTACCTGTTCTGCATCGGCTTCATCGCTCTGATGGGCTACTACGGCATCCTGGGGGATGATTTGGAATCCCGAAACGAAGAGTGGGAAGAAAATATGAGGAACGTGCAGGAGAAAATGCAGGAGGTGCTGAGGAGATGCAAGTAAAAGCTTTCTGCACAACCGACGAAGTTGCCTTTGTGCTTTGCCTTTGCCTCTTACACAAATAGATTTCATCGACCTGCAGCTTTATCTCCCTGATGACCGCAGATCATGCTGAAGTGTACACAGTCATTTCTTGTGATCTGGTTCTTTTTTTTCTCTTTTTTTTTAATCACACAATCACATGCCTTCATGCCTTGCTTCAGTTTAACACTACATTTACAAGATATGTCACACTAATCTAAAGAATGCTGGTTGTGGTTATATAAATATTATTAAAGCTCATAAGCAGTGTCACCTTGAAAACTGACTTCATGATGAACAACTTGTTTCCTGAATAAATACATAGTATATACAAATGTATTCTATAAAATACATATATAATTTAAAGAAACCATGTATCTATCTATATATTCATAAATGTTGCAAAATAAAGAGCATACAATTTACTGTCTGTGCAAACCAAGATCACTATTTCGATCTGAAACGTTCATGTTTATGCATCTTTTTGGCACATTAGTAATAGATTTAAGTGTGCATTTAATTGTCTCCTGTGTGCTTTTTTTTTGTGTGCCATTAGAACACATACTGTGTGTTTGTTCATCCATAATCACATTTGTTTATCCATAAAGCACTGCAATATACATAAATATACCTGAATTATGTGTTTGTGTGCTTTTTTAATGTCTCATGGATTGGAACCCTTGGCCTTCCTAATCATTATTAAAATACCTTTTTATTTTTTATTATTCATTCTTTGGAATGCTGCTGCACTTATAACGCTGTACAATATTGTTACATTTTTCAATAAAGATGAATAAACAAGGAATGAAAACTATTACAAGTTGTTTTGACTTACACTAAAATTCATAATATACTGTATATTTAATACAATTAATCAGAACTGTAATCACATATATATATATATATATTATTTAAAGATATATTTACAATATAAATATAATATTAAGAAATAGAATATAATATAATGTTAAAGGCTTACATTTTGACGTAAACAGTAGGTGGAGGGACCTTTGAATGAGCTTTTTTTCTTGTTAGATGTTCCTCTGCCACTAGATGGCAGTAAAAGGTCATAAACTGAGTTTAGACCTTAAACTATAAAAACAAGCATACTGCTACTGCTTAATGCATATTGTGTGTATATCACCTACTATATTATTAATATATGTAAAAACAGCATATACTATGAAGCTATAATCAGTTTAAACTGCCATATGATCTTACTAAGCTATCATTTGACAAATAAATCTGGTTATATTGCATTTTTAAATGTATTTAATCCATTTTGTGTAAAAAAAAAAAAAAGTGCAAAGCATACTGCTACTGCTTAATGCATAGCTTAATGCATATTGTGTGTATAGCACCTACTATATTATTAATATATGTAAAAACAGCATATACTATACAGCTATAATCAGTTTAAACTGCCATATGATCTTACTAAGCTATCATTTGACACATAAATTGGTTATATTGCATTTTTAAATGTATTTCATTCATTTTGTGTAAAAAAAAAAAGTGCATACAGACTGTGTTATGACTGTATATTTGAAGTAGACTATCTATGCATCAAATGCAGCAGACACGAAAGGCTATAGGCTAATTAATTTCAGACTTTTGAAACTTTTGAAAAGGACTCTGGTAAAATATCTACTATGCTATATAAAAATGGTTAAATATGTTTTTGCCTACACAACAGAATTGAATCAGGTTAGACGCCACATCGAATGTTAACGCGAATGTAAAGGTGAGGGATAGTCTATACAATGGCATACACTGTATAAAAAGACTAAAGCATGTCATTTTCACAACTTTCATAACTCTTTTTTTTTTCTACGGCCTTTTTCAGAAAGACGTTACTTACAATCATGTCGTTAAATAAGAGAACAATCAATGGTGTAGTTACAGCACCTATCAGCAGGGGCTATCTGGACCACGTGCAAAGCTGTCTTTGAATGGTCCAAATCCATGATCTTTCACACAGTACATTTTCCTCCCAAAATATTCAGGATTAAACATAAGTAGCATGGGAGATATGACTAGGCTACTTTATCTTCAAACACTTAAATTTCATTTAAGAGAACATAAACATGAATGAGTTTTACTTTACCCCTTGTGGCATCACAGAAGACAGATCTCGAGTCTTGCTCTGCGACATTTCACGCCATCAGCCAGAAACCTTTGCAAAGACTATTACGTCAAGTAACGTCATGAATGCCTCGGGGAGGCATTTATATGGACATGATTCTGAAAGAAAGAAAGAAAGATGTTAAGGCTTTTCAGGAGAAGTTGTGATCCACAAAAAATTCAAGAAACACACTGTAAATAGGTTGCTGTAAATTTTACAGTAACTTACTGGAAGCTGGATGCCAGTAATTTACTGTAAAAATGTTTACAGTATTATTACTGTAATTGCATTTACAGCACAGTAATGTATTTACTGTATTTTATTTACAGTATTGTTACCGTATTTTCATTTACAGTATCAGTACTGTAGAGTTTATTTTCATTTAGTTGAAAAATGTTTTACCTGTAAAAAAACAATCCAATTGTGGTACTGCACTGTAAACCATGATTTTTGATAATCCATGATAATTCATGAGTTTAGTTCTGATAATATTATTTTTAATTCACAGTAATGTATTTACTGTATTTTATTTACAGTATTGTTACCGTATTTTCATTTACAGTATCAGTACTGTAGAGTTTATTTTCATTTAGTTGAAAAATGTTTTACCTGTAAAAAAACAATCCAATTGTGGTACTGCACTGTAAACCATGATTTTTGATAATCCATGATAATTCATGAGTTTAGTTCTGATAATATTATTTTTAATTGTTGAACATTTTCTTTTTAAAAGTACAAATTACAAATCTTGACCTCTCAGATGCACTAGCTTAAAAAAGGGCAGCACCACAGTCCACTGGGTACTTTTTATCATGGAAGAACATACACATACACACAAGGGGAAAGTTGTGGCCTAATGGTTAGAGAGTCAGACTCGTAACCCAGGTTGTGGGTTTGAGTCTCGTACCGGCAGGGATTGTAGGTGGGGGGGGGGAATGTACAGCACTCTCTCCCACCTTCAATACCACGACTGAGGTGCCCTTGAGCAAGGTACCGAACCCCCCCAACTACTCCCCGGGTGCTGCAGCAAAAAATGGCTGCCCACTGCTCCGGGTGTGTGTTCACGGTGTGTGTGTGCACTTTGGATGGGTTAAATGGTATCCATTCAATTGAATTGAAAGCGTATTTTTGACAAACTGCTATAGGTTATCTATCTACCTATCTATCTGTCTATCTATCTCCCAAATTCATTAATTAGGCCTGCAGTTTAACCCTCAACTGCTCCCCGGGCGCCGCAGCAAAAAATGGCTGCCCACTGCTCCGGGTGTGTGTTCACGGTGTGTGTGTTCACTGCTGTGTGTGTGCACTTTGGATGGGTTAAATGCAGAGCACTAATTCCAAGTAGGGGTCACCATACTTGGCCACATGTCACGTCACTTCACTTCATACTGAAAAGCAAAAATTGGCAAGTACACTACCAGTCAAAATGGAAAAGATGCATTTTACTTGAGGAAAGTTAAAGTGCAGGCCTAATTAATGAATTTGGGAGATAGATAGATAGATAGATAGATAGATAGATAGATAGATAGATAGATAGATAGATAGATAGATAACCTATAGCAGTTTGTCAAAAATACGCTTTCAATTCAATTGAATGTATACCAGTTTGGTTTTATTGTGTTGTTGATTAAATTATTATTGTGTGATTTTTGTTCGGTGGACAGAAATTACAAAAATGTCTTAATATTAGAGGGTTTATGTGATTAAAAGAATAAAATGGGGAAAAATAGTTTATTTTCAACTTTAGACTCGAAACATAGTAACTGAAATATGAAAACTTCGCCGTATGACAATGCTCTCCCCAATCAAATAATCAGAATCAGAATATGACGTAATCTAATGGGCCTACAGAATATTGAAAGTAATCCTTTCTTACGTGCCTTACGTACATCAGTAGACTATAAGCCTGAAAAAGATTCAAATGCAGACACCTTCTCTGTCCTCTGTTGAGTCTCATGGGAATAAGTCATCATGTTCAGCAGTGTCAGCCGTCTATGACGCATTCAGACACAAGGTCACACTTGACTTATTTTCAAACGCTTATTTGTAGATTGTCAGAAAAGAAATGTATATCCACCACTTGATTTGCAAATATGTGCAATGATGCATGTGACTTCGTTTTCCTTCCCTTTTACCCGCGTATGATTTCATAATATTTGCATTTGAACCCTCCTTAATCAGCACACGCTCAGAGAAGAGAACATTAAGCACACAATAGATAGACAATATAGTATGTTATTTTTATATAACATAACATAATACAATATCAAACCCGTTAAGCACTTAAATACATCAGTAATGTGTAAAATACCTGCCATCCCTGTGTGGAAAATATCTGCGCATGTTTCTTGTGATCCACCGGAGCTGCTCCATGTTAGATAGATAGATAGATAGATAGATAGATAGATAACCTATAGCAGTTTGTCAAAAATACGCTTTCAATTCAATTGAATGTATACCAGTTTGGTTTTATTGTGTTGTTGATTAAATTATTATTGTGTGATTTTTGTTCGGTGGACAGAAATTACAAAAATGTCTTAATATTAGAGGGTTTATGTGATTAAAAGAATAAAATGGGGGGAAATATTTTATTTTCAACTTTAGACTCAAAACATAGTAACTGAAATATGAAAACTTCGCCGTATGACAATGCTCTCCCCAATCAAATAATCAGAATCCGAATATGACGTAATCTAATGGGCCTACAGAATATTGAAAGTAATCCTTTCTTACGTGCCTTACGTACATCAATAGACTATAAGCCTGAAAAAGATTCAAATGCAGACACCTCCTCTGTCCTCTGTTGAGTCTCATGGGAATAAGTCATCATGTTCAGCAGTGTCAGCCGTCTATGACGCATTCAGACACAAGGTCACACTTGACTTATTTTCAAACGCTTATTTGTAGATTGTCAGAAAAGAAATGTATATCCACCACTTGATTTGCAAATATGTGCAATGATGCATGTGACTTCGTTTTCCTTCCCTTTTACCCGCGTATGATTTCATAATATTTGCATTTGAACCCTCCTTAATCAGCACACGCTCAGAGAAGAGAACATTAAGCACACAATAGATAGACAATATAGTATGTTATTTTTATATAACATAACATAATACAATATCAAACCCGTTAAGCACTTAAATACATCAGTAATGTGTAAAATACCTGCCATCCCTGTGTGGAAAATATCTGCGCATGTTTCTTGTGATCCACCGGAGCTGCTCCATGTTGCGCATTGCGCGCAATATTCCTCTTGATGAACAAACATTACGCGCGATTTCTCTCTAAAATCAGATCAGAACATTTCTATCTGTTGTCATTTTATGAATAAAGCGCAAGGTACAGCCAAGCACGTCAAAAAATAGACATCTCTCCCACTGTTGCCAAGTGCTTTCCAAACCAACATCATCCTAACGCATTCTCAGCGCGCGCAACTGCCTCTCTGTCGCACGCGCACACTGTCTCTCTGTTCATTTCACACTCACTCAGATCATCACAAATATCCTCCTCGAGCCAATACCTGAGGGAAACCTGAATTTCGGACAGCAGCTCTTCTACCAGCCAGACGTGAGAACCCGGTTTGAAATATTTTCTGCTGGAGTAAATTGCTGTGATGCGCATTTAGGGTACTTATGAGGGAGACTGCGCTTTAAATCGCTTTTCGAGGTGTGTCCTTTACGGAACAGAAGATGGCACATACAGTGGTGCCATATCTACGTAACACAATTTTAAGCTCAAGTCGTTTTAATTCTGCTCTGAATGGGAATATTTCGAGGTTTGCAATGTGCCCGGACTTGGTTTAACATGATTTTTTCTCTCATTAACATGCATGCGGATTTAAAATGGAAGAAAACGATGATGGCACAGTTGGCTATCGTGTAAAATTAGCAACGTGAGGAGTTTCATGCATGCTTAATGCGTTCGACTGTGATGAAAACACGTAGGTCTATAATTTAGTTTTTTTTTAAGTATGAGAAAAAATCGAACATTTTACATCAAAAATATTATTATAATATATCTGACCGAATGCACTTCAGCTTTTTTGTCTGTCATACCTGTATTATCTGAGAAAAGGTTTTATGAGATTTATTTACAACTTCAGTGTCTCAACAATGAGACTATAAAACACGTTCAGTTTTCTTAGGCAAAAATTATTCCATGTTTATGAAAGAACAATCTGCAATTTGCAACTTTTATTTTACATTATGCACTTTGAATTAAAACAGAGCAATTGTGCAAAGATACTTTTTTATCTTATTTTAATAGTACCAGAAATGAAGGCATTTATTTTTTGTTTGTGTTTAGAAATGTCCAGTCCACTAGAGCGGGTTGTAGCCCAGAAGAAGGAGGCCATTGAAGCCGTGATGGAGATGTTTGAGAGAGGAGCCGAGGTGCTGGCCAGCGCTGTTGGGGAGCTGTGTCCTCTTTTTGAAGCTTCTGCTCCAGTTTTGAGGCTGGTCTTGGACAATGTGGAAAGCAAGGAGATCACATATGTCAAAGATCAGTTTCTAGTTGTGAGGAGCAAATTAGATGTCCTCTCATGTCAAGTAGAGGACATCAACTGTGAGATTAAAAAGGGACGGTTGGATTCTCAGTTCTTCTCTGTGGAGGAAAATATATGCAACCAATTTAGAAAATACATAGACATTCTGGAGGCCAAACCTGAGTACAAAGAGGTTAGAAAACGCTTGTTCTTGCAGCATTTTCCCAAAACAGGAGAGAAGAACCTCTACATGCTTTACGATGCTGTGATGGGGAACAGCACATTTGGGGAACCGATCCTGGATGTTGTGGAACAATACGAGGCCAGAAACAGAAGGGTCCTGGAAGACTTCTGCGTCAGACTGAAGGAGCTGCTCTGCTTGGGAATCATCGCTCTGCTGGGATATTGTTTCCTTACTCAGGGTGAGGAATCAGAGCAGGAGAAGATTCGAGAGTGGAGCACAAAGATCCAAGAAATTGAGACGAAAATGAAGGAAACGATAGAGAAATGTGTGGATTCGTTTCCAGAGCAAGCTGAACTGGACATCAAGAGGCTTGTGAAGGAGAAAGAAGATGAGAACCTTCAGGAAACGGCCAAGGAACTGCTGGACTTCCTGGTGAAGAAGTACGACTGGGTGAGCTGGTCCATCAGAGTCATTAGGAACTTGGGCAAAATTAGCAACTTGAGAGCCGGACAAAACTTTCAGTGTGTGGCCGGACAGAATTATTTTGAAGTATCTCAAGGAAATGACACCAACCTGGTGGTCTCGTTCAGCAGCGACCCTCAGCCTGTGCCCAACGAGAGCGTAAAGCAGGTGATGGAAGGCCCTGCGAGGAAGGGAGATGCCAAAGCTGTTGTGGAGCTTCTGGAGAAGCAGTTAGCTGGGTTTCTGGTTCACGCTGTCAGTCGTCACAAGGACAGCTTTGCTCTGTCGAGCTTTCCTGAAGAATGTCACTACTGGGAGAAACATAAGAACGTGAATCTCTGTGTGCATTCAGAGTAGATTTAGATAAAAATCTACTATAACTGCATTTTACTGTATCCATGATCTATGTCTTGAAAAAAACTGTATTTATTCAGCTTATTGTCTCTAACAAATAGTTCATGCATTTATTGTAATTCCTCTTTTCGTTGTTCTGAAACTAATACCAAAGTGATCTTTTTCAGACTAACCAGTTTAATTAACCAGCCCATCTGTGTATGCACTTTTATGAGCAATTATAATATTATTTTATGTTACAAAGTTTAATGTGTCTGTCTAAAATCATGCCTTGAGAACCAAGAATTCTCAACCAGGGATCCGGGGCCCACTGGGGGGCCTAAACAAAATAAGTGGTCCACAAAAAGACTTAAAATAATGTACAAAAAATGTGCATTAAATAAGTTCAAATAAATAAAAATCAATATATTCCTTATTTTATTGACTCCCTCAACAACTGTTTTTTCTTCTTTCATTGAAGAATCAGTATTTCCACAGAAAGCATGGATATATGAGAGAATATTTTAAAAAGTATAGTTTCTAGACCTGCAAAACTCATGGAAATTGGCATCAAATATTGTCATTTTAACTCTTAAAATGGCATAAAGTAGAAATGGAGTAACAATCTTTTTTTGCTCAATCCTTATCCAAACAATTACACGTTTAGGGGCTTTCTAATGTTGTGGTGGACAACGGTGTGGCCTTGGAGACAAAAAGGTTGAGAACTGCTGCTTTAAACATTATCATGTATAAAACATTTTGTGAAACAGTTAAAAGTAGGAAAAATGGCTTTTGGACCAAGTACGCTGTATTAGACTTGTGCCAGAACTGGCAATTTGGCCTTTGTGAGTGAATGACCTGCATAGGGCCAACAGAATACAAATGCCCTACCAACCATGAAAAGAGGCAATGAACACATCTCAGTCTTTTTGTCTGGTCTCAGCGGCCCATTCAAACTGAGCTTTCAGTAAAAGTAAAACGAGGACCTTTGCAAGAAATAGTTTGAATTTCTGACATACAGTACATTTCTATGATATACCACCCAAAGCCACATTTAATTAAATTACTGTTTTAGTACACAAGTCAGCATTTTCTGGCCAAGGGCTGCAGAAACATGGTGAGTAACGTTTCACTTTGTTAATATAAAGCCGACGAGCTCTGAAGTGCTGTGATCAGCTCTCCGGAGCCAGTCATTAAAATCACTGAGGTGCTGAGTGAAGGAACAATCCATCATTTAACACTCAGGAGGGAGGATCCATTTCCATTGTATTCTTGTATTCCATTCTGTGTGTTTCTATTGTGAGTTAATGAGATAGTAAATGCATATTGTTTGAAATTACATTCAAAACCACAGGGAATCAAAATAATATTTAAAAACTACATTATTAGAGGCCCATTTGACCTTATGGTGCAAGATCATTAAAAGCCATTTATAACCGTTCAAGTTGTGACCTTACAACCACACCAGCATGGGTGATGACCTTTGACCCCTACACACATAATCCAATAAGTCTGTCCTCTTTATATGTCAATATGTTTTTTGATTTATGACAAAACAAATCATTATAGTACCTTTTATTGGTTCATAACAATTGCAGTTGTTGAAATTTTAAAAAGCCATTGACGTCACCAAAGCAATCCTCTCTCAAAAAACACCATTCTGAAAAAGATTATAAATTATGTTTTTTTTTTCTTGTTCTGAGGCAAAAAGAACCATTATTTCCATCATATTTTTCCTTTGTGATTAATAATTCATACATTAATTTCTTTCATGCATTATTTATTTGTTTGTTTGTTTATGAAGCCAGCATCTTATTAAAAATACAAGGTGCATCCTAGAAATATTTAAAGTTTTTAAAGCAGTTATGATGCTCTGTTTTCAGAGTCTGAATGGAAATGCATGCATGGCTCAGCCTGTATTCATTAGCGGTTGAGGCTTCTGTCTTGGTTGGAGCTATATTGATCCATGTGGCTTCCATCTCTGAAAAACGGCCGAACCTTAAACCTGTCTGTTACTAGACCAAAACAAACATCTATTATTCCAGTATGACACAGCGACATGTTTCGCTGGACTACTTTAAAACTTTTAAATAAAGGCAAATGAAACCACAACCTTCTCCAGGAAAGGGCATCAGTCAATATCAATATTTAATATATAAATGAGTGATTTTATGAATCTCAGCATCACAGTAGTGCCGAGGCGGTCGATCTGTCCCAGGATACCTCACTCTGGCTGCATCTGCCAATCACAGCCTGAGCTAATGACATTACCTTTTCGTCAGAGTGGACCATCGACCGGCTTCCTGGCCTTAAGTGGCCTGATCTGATAAAAAGCATTAAAACATTTGTACTGTGACACACACCAGCTCACCCTCAGCCTCTGCACTGGATTCATCCTTCTGATGTGTCTTATAAACCCTTTGCAAAAAGATCTTACTGTCTTCACAAAATGAGTATAAATGATGCTGCAAATAAACTTTTTGTGCAAACTAAAGCCCGTCTCACATTCAATATTCCTAAAGCATTTTAGCATAACATCTAAATCATGATGATCTGAAATAAAATAACATAACATTAACAGCAGCAAACAGAACTGTAAACAAAGCTATAACCCATTATTAATTATCAGCAACACTAATTAGTCAAAAGGACACCATAATTAAATATTCATGAGATCATGGCCACGCCCCTCAAACACAATGCACAGATAGGACCTGTTTTTTTTTCTGATTGCCTTTAATTAATTGAACTTTGTTTGTTGAAATAGTGTACATCAGGGTTATTAAAGTTATCTAAAACTAAAACTATAGAAACAAAAATCTACTTTAACGGAAATCTAAAAAAAACTTTGTATATTTTATTGAATTTAATTGTATTCGATTTTATTGCAGCTAGTTAAAGCAACATTTCTCTTTTTCATTTAACTTGATGTACTAATATAGCTATAGACATATTAAAAAAAACTAATAAAAATGACAGAGACTTAATTTACTAAAATGTTAACTAATATTAAAATGAAAACAAAAACATTCAAAATAAAAACATTCAAAATATTAATAAAATTGTAATAGTATCTCAATAACACTGCTGTATATACATCATTAAACCGGTTTTATCTAATAAATAATAACTGTTGTAATTTGTTAAATTAGTTAGTAAATTCAAGTTCATTTATTTAAATTAAATTAAAATGAATTACAATTAATTAATTTATGCAGAATTTATTTAAGGCCAAATAATTTTTCGTTTTTTCCTCATTTTCAGTAATAAAAGCAGCAACACGTAGAAAAAAAAGGCTACATGTATTTTGAGATTATGTACACAAAGCAATTTTTATTATTCTAATTATTAAATAATTATTCAATTTTTTATGATCTCAGCAGGCAAAGTTTATGTTTACGTCATATTTGTTGGGCACACATGAAAACTTCATTTCAATAAAGGCAAGTTGATTTAAAGAAAATAAAGTGTCAGTTTCAGTCTTTGGGAGCAGGAGGTAAATGACACTCTAATTATGCTCATGGGTTTATTTCTGTCCGCTCGTTTGCCAAACCATTAGCGTATTACGGTTCTAATCGGTATATTGATCTTGTTTTGGCTCCATCTGCACTTGCTCTCATTTCACACAATGTGTGCGAGCCTCGCAGCGTAATGCTGTTCTCTGCGTTTCTCTCCCTTCTGACCTTTCTGAAGGTCAACAGCATGTGTTTGTGCATAAATGTCACCAGCAGTAATATTATGATGACAGCAGATATGATAGAATCAGCTTCTTTTTTTTTTTGCATTTCACACAAAATTTCAAAAAGATTCCTTTGTGTATTTTGCTAGACCAATGTTTCAGATAACTCTCTTGGGCTAAATGTTTTTTCTTACATGCAGACCAAGAACGGATATTATTGACTGTATTGACTGATGATGTCAACAGTTTTCTGATTTTGACACCTGACTCATTTTTTGTATATTCAAATTTACTTCATGATCATACTCAAAATATAAGAACAAATATCTAGCTCAAAAACATAATTAAAATGATGCCGAATTTATTTAAAGCCAAATTCTTTTTTAAATGAAATATGAATGCATTTTTTAAAATCCCATCTATATATACATATATATACATATATAGACTTTTATATATATTATTATATGTGTGTGTGTTTAATTAGTGTTTCTACACTCTCAGAAATAAAGGTCCAAAAGCTGTCACTGGGGTGGTACGTTTACAAAAAGTACACTTTTGTACCTTTTAGGTACTAATATGTACACCTTCAGTACTAATATGTACATTTAAGGTACCAATATGTACCCTTTAGGTACAAAGGTGTACCTTTTGAAAAGGTACCACCCCAGTGACAGCTTTTGTACCTTATTTTCTGACTGATTCTGTATAACTGTGTACATAGTATTTGTATATGATTATAATTTTTATAGAAGAAGAATGAATCAGAATCAGAATGAGCTTTATTGCCAGGTATGTTTACACATACGAGGAATTTGTTTTCATGACAGAAGCTTCCACAGTGCAACAGAATGACAGTGACAGAACAAAAACACAGATAATAAAAATAAAAATAAATAAATAATAAAAAATAGAACAATAAGGAATAAAAATATGCAAATCGACAATTGTATGTACAGGTATATAACAATAGACATTTGTATGTGTCTATATATATATATATAGCTACATGTCTATATATATATATAGCTTTTTATATTTTCAGTTTTCATTTAAATTTTTTATTAATTTTGTAATGTGTGTTTGTCGTTTTTACATTTTTTTCTTTAATATTTATATTTAGGTTTGATTTATTTTATTTCAGTTTTTTTGTTTTTATTTCAGTTTTCTCATAATTTTGTTTATTTATTTTTATTTCCAGTTAGTAGCTATAATTTTAGTGCTTCAATTTTTTTTATTTACTTGCTAAGGCAAGATTTCTCATTTTCATTTATTTAGTTATTCTGATATATCTGATATTTATTTTTATTTCTGCTTTATTTCAATTAACAAAAATGTTTTTAATAGTTTTAGTTAACGATAATAACCCTGGTCTACAACCAAAGTGACATGACAAACTGGATAAAACATGCTCAATCAAACATAAAGCACAAGCAGCCTCACAGCACAAAGACTGGAGAGCGCTGGTGTTCGCTGTTAATCAGAGTCTTGTGGTGTAGGGTTTGGGGATTGAGGTTTCATCTGTCGTTTTTAAGAGCATCAAAAAACACGCTTAGGTGAAATGGACTGCAATCCATATAGAGCCTCCAACAAGCCACTGAACATTTGCCTGCTTCCTGTGATCTAGACGTCTATCGATCTCTTGAGTCTAAAGGATGGACTTAATGTGCGGAG